TGTTTCATAACCAACATCCTGTTCTGTTGGACACAACTCGATTATAAAACCATTTAGAATGTCCAGCTAGATAAAACCTGACAAGTTTTATTTGATAGCTTAGCATTAATAATGTGTCTTAATTCTTAACTTAATACCAGAAGTATGAATAAGTACAGACACTTTATATTAATAACATATTTCAGGTTTTTCATTTACCAACAGTTCAAGTTTTGCTCTTTTAGTTTGCTACTTGTTAAAGACTGTTTCATTTTAACGAACACCCTCAAAAAAAAAATGGTAAGAAGCTATCTTAAACACAATAATTGTCATATAAAATTAGTAAAGAAACAATGGTACCAGTACTGCTTTTCGTCTTTTAAACTATTGATATGTAGTTTACCTAATAGGACATAAAACATAAGTACGACTGATATCTTTATTATTCTGTGGAGTACATTGTGTATTTGGTAAATGTGATTGAAATCAAGTAGATATCTTTAACAGAACACACACACACACACACATAATAATGTGTCTATAAATGGGGGATAAACACAAAAATTTTTAGAATGGTTTTATGCCACCATGAATCATTACATCAGTCCTAATTTGGTTTGGCAGTAGGACAATAATTTGCTTCCAGTTCCTCAAGGGACATCAGAGCAGGAATGTTGCAAAGTTCCTGTTATACAGTCTTTGCAGACACTAGTTCTCACACGTACGTTACACTTTGGGCATATTTTTGTTTTATTTAATATGTACAGCTGTTCTGATCCTACATGATCATTCTTCAACTATTGTTATTTCAACAAGAAACTTTGTCATGTTGCAGTCCATGCTCGAGGACAGATGCCCTTTATATTGTAGTTATTAATACACATGCTTTTTACGTATATTCTTTGGAGTCGGTTCAAATTCGACCACTATACACATTATATACAAATCATCATTTGGTTCATCCTGAAGTTATTTGTACAACTGTGTTGTCATATATTTAGTATAATCATACATATGGATTGAAAATCCAAGACACAATGATTAGTTTGCCAGCCTATAGACCTGGGGGTCCATTGTTCACTTTCCATGACCACAAAGAAACAATAACAATTCTGCTTCACAGTTTGGGACCATAAGTGCATTGTAAGGATGACAGTTAAATCCAACTATTCAATCGGTGAGTGCTGACTAGCTGTCTTCCCTATAGTCTAGGAGTGGATATCCAAAAGAAAAACACAATAGTATGTTCATCTCTACAAAAAATGCATCACAGTTACCACTGACGATCTTTATCAACATATTTTGCTCTTTATAACCATATCTGTTAATTCTGATATCGTTGATAAACCTAGTTGATCTGTAGGTCTGCAATTCATAAGTGATATTTATCAACCAGTGACTAGGTGATGAAAATGTATACCATTACAAGTATTGCAAAAGTATCTAGAGCAATATAAAATGTATGTGACCTCTCAAAGTTTTATTTTGTTTGAACAGTATGCTAAAAAATGATTAAGTTTAGCTCTTCAACAACAAAGTTTAAATATTTTCATGATTAAAAATATAAATATTTATCCATCAAAACTTTAAAAAAGCAGGACTTTGTTTTTTAAATGTGGTCTTAAATTCTCATATAAACATATAGAACATACAGCCTTTAAATTTTGGAGACAACATTTTGGAATTCGTGCTAGGATTTTCATCAGACTTTAAAAGAATAAAAGTAACTTAAAAACATTGTTACTATTATTATTATTAATTTTGGTGTAAAATGGAACAACCAGTTTAAAAAATACTGTGTACTTGTTTTAATTTCTTTTTATAGTCACATATAAATTGGCAATAATTAATCAAACCAACAACCAAACCTTTTTTTCTTTTTTCAGTTATAGTACAGCATTAATATTGCACTAAAATCCCTTTGTGTTAATATTACAGTAGCTCAATCTGCAGCTGTTGGCAACTTGTTCCACATGGCAGGAAACCTAGGGAAGGCAGTAGGAACTCTGGTTAACGTAATGACTGATGATGAAGGCGGCAGTGGCTCTGATGATGAGAAACATTGACAAGGAAAGTTCTTGTTGTCGTTTTCTTTGAGCACATTCACTTGATGGAGTCCAACAAAAAATATTTCATACTTGTGAAAAAAAAACAATCATTTTGGAACCAGGATTAAGGCCTAATAGTACTATTGTACAAGATAGGATTTGAAGTGATTCGGTAAAACACAAGAACAAAGGATGATTTTGTTACTCTGTTGACACTGTGAACCAATGTTCATGACATTTATGATGTCATAAATATTTCAAATACTGTCTTCATTATGTGTCCTATCATTAGCTTGTGTTGAGAAATACAAATATTCTTTAAGAAAAACAAGTCTGTGCAAAGTTTTGGCTTTTTTTTGTGACTTTAACCTATTGATTTTAAAAAACAAAATTATGGTTCATTAACTTGTGTAAATGATAGATGAATTTTTTTTAAAAGTATTGTTTTTTTCTTGTGAATAGTATCTAGTAGAAACTGTCTGTGATCAGAAATCTTTTACAAAAACCAAAATTTTGCATTGAAAAGTTTTTTGTTTTTTTAATGACTGTGTTTGAAACAAATATTAATACACTGGTGTTCATTTTTCTCTATAACACCCAGATATGTTCTGATTATAAAGTAACAGAGAGCAGAGAAAATCAGTTTACCACACAGTGTAAGTTAGAGCAACAAAAGACAACCATAATAATCATGTTTCACTTGTTTTTTTTTTAATGTAATGAAACAATACATTTTTCTTCAAATAAAAAATCATGTCTCTAAGACAGTTGTGTTCCGAGTACATTTTCAATGTGTATTCTTGATTTACATCGTGTTAGGAATTCAATATATTTATTTCATGTTTTGGCCATTATTGTTATTACTTCCATTGGTAAAAACGAATATCTTAAAAAGATGGGACTTGTTTTTCTTTTAAAAAGAATGAGACATCCTGTTATTTATCTGTTAGGGATATTTTGATCATCCTCTCTAAAAACAAGTTTGAAAAAAGCCATTACTATTTTTAAATCAGTAAAGCAGACACGTGGCTATGTATTCGTGTGTGTGTGTGTGTGTGTGTGTGTTTGTTCGTGCCATTAGTAATTCTTTTGTCACAAGGTTTGCATATTGAAACATGAGAGAGATGATTCTTTGCTGTTGAAACTCATTCTAGAATATTTTTATAGTATTAACCGATTAATTAAAAATAGGTGAACTAAATAAAAAGAGTTGGAATATTCTTCATACTGTAACTTCCATAACCTTTTTTATGAGAAATATCGTTCTTATACCAGAAACTGCTTGCTCACTTTTTTTTATATCTTGAATGAAACTTTAATCCTGGTAATAAAAAAGTGATATGATAAAAACTATCATCAATTATAAAGTTAGAAACTCTTATTTGATTGATCATCTCTTGTTAAAAACAATATGGAGAATTAGTTTTTAGAATTCTAAACATAGGTCATTGTAAGACGTATTTTTAAAGCATTTTAGTACATAGATTATCTTAAACAAACGTTAGGAGAAATTCAAAGTTCCAATGATTTGTAATGCATTATCATTAGGACTAAATATATTTTATGAGGGTCGAGCATAGCCCAGTGGTTAGTGTACCAGACTGTAGATTCGAGGTTCCGTGATTCCCTTCGCCACCAAAATAAAATCGCACTCTGCACTTCGGGGGCGTGTGTGCATAATAAGAGTGATAGCCAAATCTCACTATTCAATTAGAGGAGCCCGCCATCTGATAGCGGTGGGTGGTGTTGACTGGTTGCCTTCCCTCTGGTCCAGCGGTTCCCAACCTTTTCACCACCTTTTATTATTTTTTCCCCACGGACCCTATGAATAATTAACTTGTTTTTCCATTTTTCACTATCAAATAAAAGACGTATATAACTGAGTGTGCAATTAAAAGAACAGCAGAATTAAAAAACTTACTTGTTTAATGAGATGGTATTATCTTCCGGGGACCACAGGTTGGGAACCACTGCTCTAGTCTATCACTTTAAAATTAAGGACAGCTGGCTCGGATCGCTCTCGAGTAGTTTTGCGCGAAATTCAACAACAGGCGTATTTTTTCTCATGAGGAATATTTGGACAAACGAAAGCCAGATTCAGTTATGCATGCCACAGTGTCTTGAAAGAAAATATCTTTACGATTGAAGTTATTTTTGGAGGAACTAGGGATTGTTATCATTTCTCTATACACGTGTTGAATCAGTTCCTGAAAAGAGAGTTTTCTATACATATATACAGCTAAAAATGTTTTGTAACTAAGGTTACGTGTGAGAAGTATTTTTTTCTACAAACCAAGAATGAAATTGAAGATGAATTTTTGTGTGTATACATGTTTTTTGTAGGTTTTTTTTAATGGAAACGCTAGAAATCAAATACCTGTGTTCAAGAAAATTTGGATTTTAGAAAATGGTTACACCAGAGTAATTGATGTAATCAGTATTTTACTTTTGCCAAATTAGTCTTTCTGTTGTGTAAAAGTGTATGTTGAAATTGGAGTATTGATAGTTAAGAATATTTTACCAAATCATGTTTGTTTGTAGAAAGATTTTGTAGCTAAACCCATGATAATGATAATCTAAAAATATATTTTGTTTTCTGACTATCAATTTTTTTTCATCTCATCACGAGGAGATATAATTTATTGGATGTCTGGCACTAATTTTTGAGGCGCACCAGCCCATGTGAGGGTTGTTGTTCAATGAGAAAAGAAAAAAAAAACGATTTAAATAAGCTAATTGCTCGTTATTCATGTACATGGCTATTTTCAGAAATGTTACTACACGGGATACTTTTATAAGTCATTGTTATACTAAAATCTAAAGTGTTGGTAAGGCAAGACAATCGTTCGAGTTATACGTGCGTTAAAGCTGTTGTGTCATCTTCATTCGTCTATGATATCATGAACATATCACGTGCAAGTTTTTATGTATGTTATGAAAGCTTTTGTCTAAATCATGTAGACGTTTTTGTCCAGAGCAATAAACAAATGAATAAAATTTTATACAGCAAAAATTTGTCGTTTTATTGTCCATACTCTTTTCACCTCGATTTAACAGCGCAATTTTAGAAATACGAATCTAGCGCCATCTGTCGTCCGAACTAACAAGTGATTACGATTTCAGCCACTGAAATACTTTCTCTATTGCCCCCCACTCCACCGGGAATTCAGCGACATGTCTGAAGGCTAACAATCGATTTTCGATACAGGCAGCTGGCACATCACAGATAGTACAAAACAACAAACCTTCACTACCGCTATTTTCGTACAACCGTTGATTTAGTGCACGCGACTGATAGTAACAGATAGTTGTAATGTTAGTCTATATATATATATATAACTTACACTCTCGTACACACCATTTCAGCCTGAAATACTAATATAAAAGGGGGTGGGCTTGGTGGATAAGGCGCTCGATAAACCTAATTGATCTGTAAGTCTGCATTTCAAAAGTGGTATTTATCAAGAATAGAATCACAACCAATCTGAGGGTCGCGGGTTCGAATCCTCATCACCGAACATGTTCGCTATTTCAGCCATGGTTGGCGGTGGGTGGTGTTGACTAGCTGCCTTCCCTCTAGTATATCACTGCAAAATTAGGTAGGGCTAGTTCATATAGCCCTTGTGTAGCTTTGCGCAAAATTCAAAACAAACAACCAATCTTTTCACCAATAAATTATTGTAAAAATCTGGTTTAAACAACAACCTGAAGGAACTGACAAGGTAAATTTTTCGCCTGTTAACTGAATAATTCGGCAGCGAGAAAATAGTTTTTTCTAGTGTTTATTTTGATTACAGTTAAAGTGTTTACAGCAATATTTGTGTAAACCGTGAAAGATGATTGATGTATCGAGAGAAAAAGGGGGGGGGGATTAGTTCTCATTTGGAGATTCGTGTTCAATTTTGTCAAAATTACTATTAGAAGAAAAATATTCTGAAATATTTCATGTCTGAATATATTACAAAGGAATTAAGCACTTTTCTGGGCTCAATTTTTTTTGTTTGTTAGTAAGCACAGAGATGCAAAATGGGCTATATGTGCTCTGCCCAACACGAGTATCGAGACCCGGTTTTTAGCGATGTGAGATCTTAGACGTACAACTTAGCGGGCCCGGCATGGCCAGGTGGTTAGGGCGCTAGACTTGCAATCTGAGGGTCGCGGGTTCGAATCCCCGTCACACCAAACATGCTCGCTTTTTCAGCTGTGGGGACGTTATAATGTGACGGTCAATCCCAATATTCGTTGGTAAAAGAGTTGGCGGTGGGTGGTGATGGCTAGCGCAAATAACCTTCGAGTAGCTTTGCGCGACATTCAAAACAAAGAAACAAGTTTGCCCCCTCCTTGTGCACGCCCCTGACAGCGAGTTATCCTAAACACAAGAAAATCTGTAAATATTCGATGTTTTTTTTATTTGTAACTCATAATCGTACGGTTATTATTAATTCACAAAAAAAAGGTGCAATATTTCTAGGTATCGAGTATGAAACGAAATTCAACCAAAATATAATATAATAGCAAACTACTTCGTTAAGCTAGATGATAGGTTTTGGAAAGCATTAAACATGGAATTATAGATATGTTACAAATAAAATGAAATCACAATGCTAGCCGATTGTATGCGTGCCTTCTGTAAGAACTATTGATGTAATTTGGCATTCCTAATTACTGTCTTCCTCCCACCCACTTCTTTTTTCTTTATTTTTGATTATGCACGTGTGACTACAAGAATTGTAATTCGTATCTATTTCCAATTTCTCTAAAGTCTTTTAAAACCAGTTCATTCGTTAATTTTTCAAGCATGTAAATAGAATGTAATACCAGATCCAGCGGACGTGTGGCGCCATCTTATTTTGAAGCCAGAGGATCTAGGAGACCTCGGGCAAACAACTTTCGTTTCCCTTCTTTGTTTTCCTAAGTTAATTTTGTTATTATATATACACATCTCTACGCGTAAACAGTCTAATACTGAGCATTCTGAAAGTCGTTATTTCCGAGAAAGTGCCATCCTACTGAAAGTGTTTCCAAGGGCACAAAACAAACACTTATTTATTTTGAACAGAAATAGTTCGAATTGTAACGAAGCGGGTGTATTACAGAAAAATTATTTAGTCAATAAACTATAGTTTCTTAATCGTAAGTTGTGCATTGTTCATATAATGGAAATAGTTTTATTAGATAAACAAATAAGAAAAATATAATACTACCAAATAGTGAAAATTTCAAAGTCATTCTTCCAGAAGTGGTCAGGTGGTTAGGACACTCGACTCGTAATCTGAGGGTTGCGGGTTCGAATCCCCGTCATACCAAAACATGCTCGTCCTTTCAGCCGTGGGG